CGGTCCTTCTCGGTGCTGCGAATTGTTTTCGCAATGCAAATGCCCGGTGTTCGTCTCCATATTTGTCGCCTCATCGCCTCATCACTGACTCGCAACTGTGTAGACTGTTCTCATATACTGGACTGTCTCGGCGGCATACAGCCTTGCCCAGTCGTTCGTCCTGGAGTATTGGAGTTCCCGCAGCAAGCCAATTCAACTGCCCGTTCCGCCGCTGAACTTCAGGAAGCTGACCACCGATAGTCCAGCGACTTTGCGGAAGCTCACGAGTGGAGAGCCAACAACGGCATCTACATGAACGTACGTCGACTTTCACAAATTCATCATATGATTACAACAGTGGTTGGAAGTACCTGCATCACGACCAGCTGGAATCCTTGCATTCCACCGTCGGCGGGTCCTCGTGACTTATTTCTTGATCTAATATGATACAATCGCGTCTCATGCCACGTATTATGATACTGACTTATACCACAGCTCAATGGAACACAACACTCGACCTGCATTCACGTTGGCCTTGAGCCCAGCTGACGTTTGGACTTCTTTGTGACCACGAATAAGACGAATGTACGCGTGAGACCTTCAAAATGACATTGCATGTCGCTCATAGGTTGCTCGCTTGCGCTGCACAGATCGAACAATGCGTTCGTCCAACGGCAAAGGACGTAGTCTCAGCCCTGCACCGCGGGTACACGGTTGCTTAGGAGGGTAAATTACACTGAAATACAATCTAGTGATACATAGAGATAGTGACCCCTGCTACTGGAAGTCTACGTAATCATTGTTCGAGGTAGCCCAAGGCTGGTGGATGCCCATAGAAGCTCCTTGTCTCAGATCAGTTGAGTCATCCATCTCTGCACGACCAAAGCCACGCTTGAACTGCTCGGTGATGGAACTGTCGCATCATGAGCAAGTGCACGCGCGGCTGCACCACGAAGAAACGAACCTGATTGTCTTGATCAGCTCACTGCAAGCGTGCTGGACCGCTTCATTGGGAGTCTTGGTGCCATCGGTCTGCACCTTGAGAATGAAATATGGTTCGAGTGGATGAGGGACCTTGTAACCCGCGAAGAGGATACCCGGCATCGCAAGGAGTTGGCTACAGTTATGTAGCCGTCAGTGTACCACGTTGGCGTGGTCATCCTATAATACGCACGCGCGAACCATGTTGGCAATGGTGTGGTCCTGCTTCCATATCTTGATGGTGGCGGCATTTGGATCTTGGTGTCCTCGATGATCTCAAGCCTCCAGGAGCGTAAGCGGGCGGGAGTCGCGACGAGCAACGAGAGCGTGTCTCACGGTTTTTCGTTCTCGCCGAGGATAAAGAACTCAAAGCGTGGTGGCGCGTTCATCCTGCCGGCGCGTCAGCATGATCACGCAAGTTTGTATGAGCGAGGGGGGGGGGACGAGAGTGCGAGGTTCAGACAGCAGTTGGACAAAGTATATGTGACTTCATGATTGAGTCAGAGGATTGACAGTTATAGTACTGGTATCATCTTTGGAGGGTGCGAGACGCTGGGATGAGATCGGCCGCTCACCTGACCCGGCCGACGTACAAGCGGAAGGTAGAGTGCGAAATTTTCGATTTTAAGTCCGACAGCCGCGTCTTGATCACCTCCCGCCCGAACATCGGATCGCACTGTAGACATGTCTCCCACCTCCGGCGTTCATGGCAAGGACTCTGGCACGGCCCGTGTCCTTGGCTCCGGCGCGTCTGGTTAGTGAGAAACTGCACGCCGATTGCCGTTCGCCGATTGAGCCGATGAGCAGGTATTGCTGAGCTGCTCGTGTTCCACCCTGTCGACACCATTGCGAAGCGTCTCATGAGCAATAAGAATAAGGCAAGACTTCTATGTACCGCGCACTCTGGCTTGTTGTCTTACTCTTGTCCTCCAGCTCACCGCTGGCAACCTGAATGAAGTCCTTTTCCGCGATTTTGCCTCGGCACCCATCCAGCGCAAGGCGCTTTCGCTCTTCCCAGGTCTCGGCTACGCAGCAGGCTACAAAGTCGCACAGAGGATATACAAGTTCAGCGGCCAACCGTACTGCAACGACTACCTCTCCTCCCACCACAAGTCCTCGTTTACCAACACCTTCGGCGAGCGTCAGGGCAAGCTCATGATGCAGGCAACCGCAGGCAGGTGAGTGCGAAAGCAAAAACTCCGCAGTCGCGGCTCTTCGTTTATCGCTTGTGCTGATTGCCACCGGTATCTGACAGCTTGACTGGCATCGGAGAAGTCATTCTACTGCCGCTTGATGTGCTCAAAATCAAGCGCCAGGTCAACCCGGAAGCCTTCCGCGGACGGGGTGTCTTCCGTATTGTTTCGGAGGAAGGCTTCAACCTCTACCGTGGCTGGGGTTGGACAATGGCTCGCAATGCACCAGGTTCCTTCGCGGTGAGGCAGCACAACTGTTTGAATGTTCGACGAACATGGAAACTCACATTTCTGTCTTTAGCTCTTTGGTGCATCAGCTTGGACAAAGGACGTTGTACTTGGGATTGAGGACTACAGGAAAGCGACCTGGACACAGAACTTCATTGCCTCTGTGGCTGGTGCTGTAGCCAGCATCACGGTCGCGGCTCCTCTCGACACGATCAAGACGCGCATTCAGAATGCCAACTTCGAAAACAAGACGAGTGGTTTCACTGTCTTCAAAGATTTGATCAAGAATGAAGGTCCTTTGGCATTGTTCAAGGGTTTGACTCCCAAGGTTTGCTCATTGCTGATACCTTCAACGATTATTGGTTCTGACTGTGTGCCACCAGATCCTTGTTGTTGGGCCGAAACTTGTTTTCAGTTACACACTCGCCCAATCGCTCATCCCGTGGTTCGGCAAGTACGTTTAGAGAGGCGCTTAAGCTGCCTATGCGCTCGCAAAATTATCATAGTCTTCCAAACCCGTTACGTTGCGCAGTAGGCGCACCACGACGAGGTGATTGTTGTCGCCAGCCAGCGACCTTCGCATTAACATTTTTTGCACTTCATGTGTTGTTAGACCATGTAGACTTCTTGGATAGACCATCCCATGCATCAAATCATATACACCACTCAGATCACAATTGCTCACTGATAGAACAAAAATTAGACATGCTGCACCAGGTGAGAACAAAGTACGGAGTGTGCGTTGTAAGAATCAGTCGCGGCGGCGGCCGTACTCGCGGTCACGTTCTGAGCGCTCGTCCTTCCGCCGTTCACTGCGATCGTCAGACTTGGGCTCGCGGTCGCGGTCACGCCTACGATCACGGTCGTACCCTCTATCCCCATCTCTGTCCTCCCGACGACGATCATCACGCTCCCGGCGGTCGCGAGAGTCGTACTCGTGGTCGCGCCTCCGGTCACTGTCGCGGTCCCGATTAGAGTCGTGGTCGCGCTTACGGTCACTATCATGGCGGTCGTCGTCATGCTCGCGCCGCCGTGAGGGTGAGGATGAGCGGCTAGGACCGCGGGAGCTGCTTGAGGCTCGTGAACTGCTTCCAGAGTCCCGACCAGCAGCCTCACGCTGAGCAGCACAACTGGGTGAGCCGTACATCCCAGAAACGCTGTCCGCAAAGCGTACCTCTTTCTTGACCAGCGGCATGTACTTCATGTCTGGCTTGTGCTTTTTCTTGATGCCGACTGCGGCGCCACCTGGGATCTCGTCCGGAGGCCGCTCTTTGGCACCAATACCGAGCAACGCGGGACGAGTGGGAGGAATGTACGGTTGAACATCGTGTGCCGCGTTGGACGACCAGCCCATACCGCGCAGCATGGCTGCACCAAAGTGTTCAATTGGCACTCGTGAATAATCATCCACGGTTGCCGAGTCCGGACGCGTGAGCACGTCGAGGCGGTAGGCTTCGGATTCATCTTGGGGTGTCCGTGTAAGCATCCAGTCGTTGTTTCCTGAGCTCGCGATGGCGTCAATCTGGTTTGCGTCGTCATTGGCGGTGCCGCTGAGTGACTCGAGGATGGAGCGCCGCGCGCGCTCGTCCTCGTCCTCGACACGAGCACTCAACGCGCTTCCAATAGGCTGAGAGGAGGACCCCACTCCGTTTGTAGCTGGTAGTGGCATGCTATCCTCGTGCGGCTCATTCTTGACGATGAGACCAGACAACTGGGGACCATCGCCCATGCGGTCGTGCGTGCCCAGTCCGCCGACGCTTCCATCTGCGCCGACAGACGGTCCGTTCTGCTGAATCATAGTTCTCCGTGCATTGGCGACGGCGCGCCAGTCGCGGTTCGGCAGCGCCGCAATAACGAGTGGCTCCTCCTTGGCTTCAAGGCTGCACAGAACACAAGTCATAGACTGGGTGAGTTGACGAAACCGCTTTGACCGCAAGTTGGACACGCATACGCACCGCCGAGGAGCATTCTGGTCGAAAGACGTGACGAGCTCAGCGCGGCTGTCTGCGTCCTCATCGTCGTCTGACGAGTCACCGTCCCCGCGCGCCGAGAACGCACGCTTCAGACCACTGCCGCCACCATTGAACCGCGACGGCACAGCGGGCTTGCGGAATTCGTCACCAGACGCACGCCCAGGTGGTGGGCGGATCGTCAGCGACATGGAAGGAGGGGAAACGCGTCCGGCAAAGTCCGAACGAGTCTCGCAAGATTTCCAGAAGCGCCAAAGTGAGATGCACCCAGTCCACATCATTGGGGTGAAAACGTCACTTGCCGCAGGTCCGTGAATTGCCGGTGAATCTCTCGACAACTACACCCGGTAATACTGAAATACTGGATGAGAACTGGTTCCAAAACTACTCATGGAGAAGTTCTCGAACCTAAATGGTTGTCGAAAACCTCTCTGGAGCAGTTCTGCGAGGAGTTCTCATCTAGTATTTCAGTATTACCCTCGTTGTCGAGAGGTTTACGGGCATTTCACGGACCTGCGGGCAATTGCGTTCCTCTCGGTCTTCAGGAGCGTCCGGCCCAGTGTTGTCGGGTAGGCCAGACGCAGGCCAGCAAAATGCGGGAACCCCGAATAACGCGCGAAAAAACGTCTCACAACGAAACCAAAAGGAATCCTCTGAGCCCGGTTCGAACGGGCGGCCTCGGGATGTGATAATCCGAAGTATCCAATTACAGTCCCACGCTCTGCCAACTGAGCTATCAGAGGTTGTTGAAAAGCACCACAATTGGGTTGCATATAACCCCGGCACGCTAAATCACATAAAAACAAAATTCCTCTGAGCCCGGTTCGAACGGGCGGCCTCGGGATATGATGATCGTGGTATCCAATTACAGTCCCACGCTCTGCCAACTGAGCTATCAGAGGGGTTGAGACTTAGAACTGTTGGGCTAATATACCACAACCCCATCAGGCCAATATCACATTCTCTGACTCTGGCATTACATTATTTCTCCGTAAACTCCCGCCCTCCATTCTCATATTTCTGGAGCTCCTTCTGCCATGGTTCCCACGCGCTGCCGTATTTTTGCAGCAGCCTGGCCAGCTCTTCTTTCTGCTCTTTCTGCGGGACCGATCAATACTTCACGGGCGGAACGACGGGGAAACAATGACAGCGACGTACCAGATTCCACGGCATCTCCGTATCGCCGTATACATCCCCAAACATCTCCTCAAGTCTGTGTCGCTTGAGCTTCTCGGCCGCTTTGAAGGCACTGAGGACCTCGGTCTTCAGTCTCGCCTTTAATTCCTCGTCCTCTTCCGGAGTCCACCACCCCTTGCTAACGAGGTATGACCGTAGCCGCACATGCGGGTTGTCGATCTTCTTGCGGTCCTCGACCTCCGCGCGCGACCTGTATGCAAACGAGTCATCCGACGTCGAGTGGTGTCCGACGCGGTAGGTCATGGCTTCGACGAGGACACCGCGACCTTGCTCAAGAGAGCGCCGACGAGCCTCCTTGACCGCACCGTATACCGCGAGGACGTCGTTGCCGTCGACGCGTACCGTGTCGATGCCGTATCCCGGCCCGCGGCTGGCAAGACCGTCACCGTGGTACTGCTCTGCTGCCGGTGTCGATATGGCGAACCCGTTGTTGCGCGCAAAGAACAGAACGGGGGCAGGGATGGTCGACGCTAGCTGCATGCCTGCGTGAAAGTCACCTTCAGAAGCGGCTCCTTCGCCAAAGTAGCAGACGGCGATGTTGTCGCGCCGCATGCGCTTCAGTGCATAGCCTACACCTGCAGCCTGTGGAATCTGAGTCGCCAATGGGGACGAGATGGTGTGGAAGTGGTGTTCTGGAGAGCCAAAATGCTACAAAACAATGTAAGCAAGTTAACCTTGAGAAGGTGTGAGAGCACTCACAACTGGCATTTGTCTGCCCTTGCTGCAGGTATCACCAGAGTTGCCCAGACATTGGTTCATGACGGAAGCCAGAGAGAACCCACGCCACAACAAAACTCCCATCTCGCGATACTGGCCCAGCACCCTGTGAAATGGTCAGTCAACAACCACCCAGCAACAACACCTGATTACGTACTCATCTGCTTGGTTGAGTGCAGCAGCAGACCCGATGATGGACGCTTCTTCGCCATACTGAATGGTGCATGAGCTCGACGATCACGAAGCATGCGTTTCTCATTTATGTGGGGAAATCTGGAGCAAGCGTGTAACATACCGATGTCATCTGCCGAACAGCAAGCATTGTCAGCCATGAGACAAACCAAGCGCGAGGTGAGACTGACATAAAACGAAATCTTGCCCTGTCGCTGCACGTTGTACAGCAGATTGTCCAGAGCCGGTAGTAAGCTCATCTGCTCATATCTGTGCGACGCAAGGTCCGTCAGCGACAGTATGCCACTGGCTAATACATGACCACCCACAGTCGGCGTCCGAGCTCACGATCAATCTGCAATTGAACATTCGTCTGTAAGCTTCAACCGACTTGTCAGGCGAAACGGCACGCACCTCTGGCTCGACTGCATCCTCCAAGACGCTACCGTCGCCGTCGAGCACGCGGTAAGTTGGTATCCGGCCGCCATTGACGGAGTTGAAGAAGTCGAGCTTTGCAGTCAGGGGGACGGTCGTGTGCGGTAGGGTTCCTAGCGGCGTCTCGGCGCTCGAATGGATGCCGCGACGTTGGCACAGTGGCGCGACGCGTAGCTTGACGGCCCGGTTCAACAAAGTTCGTTGCACACGGAGCGCTGCCATGAAACTAGAGTGCAGCGACGTGTGTGGGTGTGCGGAGACGGGTTCTGGTACGAATGTGCCGGAGTCGAGCAGGAGGGCAAGACTCGTTGCCGGAGCTTGAGTCTTGTCCGGCATCATGTGAGCGCGTTGACGCCGCCGTTACCGGTTCGTGGCACCTTTCCTATGCTTATTCAACCCAAGTGTATGAGAATGTCGGTGAGAAATAAGCTAATATGTCACAGAATAACTGGTGCGTGTAATTTGTGGCTTGCGAAGACTCTACGCTCGGCTCAGTGAAGGATAGGGGTGGAAGGCTGACACTCTCGGATCCCACACTAACACCAACATCGACAGCAAGCAGTATATTACAGCAGCGTACAGAAAGAGAGTGGAGACGCGCAAATCTGGAGCAATGAATGACACAAAAAAGGTGGTCGAGTAGTGTCAGTGTGAGAGCGCCACACGCGACATCCACCGATACACCTTGAACAGTACCACCAGCGTCGCCACAATGGTCAAATTGTTCATGTGCAGCGCCGCCAGTCTCATTACGACGAGACTACAGTGAAGGAGGGCCTCGATGAATGGCACAAGCGTGGAATCGATCCAGACGTGCCCGAATTCCAGCCGGCGCTGCGTTTCGAGCCCTGTACGGCCGAGCTGCATGTACACATCGTACATGAAATCAGTCAGCTCAGCGCCGTACCCGGTCACCTCGAAGAAGCAGGTGATGACGAAGTCGGCAGCTTTCCACGAAGCATCCATAATTAAGAGCGCCAAGATGCCTATAAGAATCACGGAGGAGATCCTATCGACTATGCTGGGCTTGGCCGTGTCGGTCTGGGTCTTGTCAGTCACAGGCGGAGTGTGCACGCGCTCGACCTCGGTCTCAGAATCCAATGTCTCGGCGTCCGATACTGAGACTGGGAAACCGCCCGGTGCAACTCGGACACGGAAGTCGTCGTCTGACATAGGTTCTTGCTTGATGTACACTTCGCCACCGTCTTCGATATGCTTATTCTTTGCGGCACCGCGTCCACGCAATTTCAGAGGCTCTGGCTGCTTCCCGGCCGCCCGGAGCTTCCTGAAACGTCGAGGTGGGCTCGGGACCGCCGTCTCGTCATCCGTGGCTGATGCACCATCAATAAGGATGCCGCTTGCGTCCAAGGCTTCATTCTCAGCTACGACTTTGGCAGCGAGCCGACCACTCCGGCGACGTTCGGTAAGGGCTGGAAGAAAAGCCCGGGGAGTGAGTTTCCTCGTCGCACGACGCGGTGAAGGAGTAGGTGACGGTGGCAGTTGGTCAGCCTCGTCACTGCTCTCTTCGCTCGCTATGTCGTCTACACGGCCTACGTCGTCTGCGCCCTCCTCTACAAACGTATCGTCGTCCGAGTTGTGGTCCCCAGCTGCAACGGTAACGAACGTAAGCGCAGCGCTCTCCGCGCCGAACAACCATAGCCGACCGCACGGCGCCGGAGGCATACTCACATCCATGCCGGGCAGCCAAGGCCCGCATGACGCTTGCGTTGGGGCGGGCCTTGCGGGCGCTGCGGTCCTTGCCACCGGAGCCGTAGAGAGCTTCGCCCTCGACGACATCCTGCACCGAGGCTCGTCCAACGGACAGCTGTCTCTTCGTCGGTGTGATGTGGGGGACCATCCAGGAGGACGTGTTGGTATCATTGTAGGACAGCGGCGACACCTTCGGCACGAGTGCCTTGAGAACCCTACCCTTGCCCCTGCCCTTGCCGCTGCTCGGCGGCGTCAGAGGAAGAGTGACAGCAGCAGCAGCGGCGCTGTTGGCGGCGCGGGTGGTCGGCATGCGGCGGGGAGGCGAATTTCTCGACGGTAAGAGGACAAGGTGCGCGGGCGGAGATCAGATTGCGTCGGGATCGTGAAGGCAAATGGATTCGAAGTGGCAGATAGTGCACAACACCAGTCGGGCGGATGCCGGCGATGTGGCTCGCAACCGATCCCGCGAAGGTGCGATGACTCTACCCGCAGCCTCAGGACCCAATGCACTGCAGAAGCTCTTATTCACGGCGCACAAGGCAGAAGAGTGTCTATTTACACCGTCACGCGTCTCGACTCTCAAGCACTCACCTTGTTGCGCTCGCTTGCTTGCCGCCACATCGACCTGCTTCCATCAAGGCTAAGCGAGACAGCCACGCCACACTCACCACCGGCCCTCAAACGACCAGAGTCTTGATGGGCATTGTTACGCTTGGGATTGCAGGGGAAGGACTTGAATTCTGCCAACTTTGGAGGGCCTTGCCAGAGGCGCGGCGATACTTGAAACGATTTGACAAACATATTGCGGAACGACATGCCGAAGCTTGGAGTGGTTTTGAAAGATTTTTGGGTTTTTGAAGAGACTTGGAAGATATTTGAGAGACCGAGGACGCATATCGTAGAGCAGGCACTTGAGCGTATCGAAGTCAGGACTTGCAAGGAACACACTTGAACAGCTTGAGGGTGGTTGTTGACATTCACCAGCGAGACTCACGGTCGCGGTCACGCTCACGGTCGCGGTCACCGCGGTCACCGCGGTCGCCACGATCACCACGGTCGCCGCGGTCCCGTTCGCGTTCGCGTTCGCCACGGTCACGGTCACGACGCTCCGGAGAGCGCGAGTGCGAGCGACGGCGGGGAGAGCGGGAGGAGCGGCGTGGGCTACGTCTGTCGCGCCAGCCGTCCTTGCGCTCCGATTCGCGGCCATACTCGTCCCGGCGGCGGTCGCGGTCCCTGTCGCGATTGCGCTCGCGGCTGCGGTCCCTGTCACGGTCTCTGTCGCCGCCGCCGCCACCGCCACGATAGCTGCTGGACCCGCCACGATAGCCGGAGCCACGATCACGATCACGGCCTTCTTCTTCACCATTTTTGTGACCCATGTACTCGCCGGGTGTCGGAGCGTGGGCTCGCTCGGTGACCGAATAGTCGACACGGATGCGGCGGCCGTTGAGGTCCATGCCATTCAGTCGTTCGATGCACCGGGTAGCATCCTCCACGGTGGCCATTTTGATGA